GAGCCAATTTAAAAAGGCCGATTTCACAAAGCTGAAAATAATTATGAACCATATCAACTGGAAGTAAGAATTTAATAAGAAAAATGTGAATGATAATTGGGAATTTTTTAACACTTTACTATATGCCAAAAAAGCCACAATTGAGGAAGAAGGCCATATTGGTTAACAAACCAACCTGGTTTAGCAGGGATCTGAAGGCAGATATTAAAAAAAAAAAAGAAGAAGAAGAAAGGGGAAGATAGTAAAGAATATAAATTAGAAGTTAGGAATTGCAGAAAATTGATATGGGAAGCAAAGGGACACAAGGAGAAATCTATGGACAGCAGAGTTAAGGACAATAAGAAAGAATTTATTAGGAACAAAAAGAATCCTGGCAATGGTATTGCTCCATTACTAGATGGAAATGGAAGAATTATCAATAATAACGCAGAAAAGGCAGAAGTGGTCAATAAATATTTCTGTTCTATATTTGGGGGGAAAACAGATGAGATGGTCTCATCATATGATAACACTCTTTCCCTTCCAGTAGTATCTCAGGAGGATATTAAATAGCAGCTATAAAAGTTAGATGTGTTTAAATCGGCAGGTCCAGATAACTTGCATTCAAGAGTTTTAAAAGAGCTGGCTGAGGAGCCCTCTGTAATGTTGATTTTTCAATAAGTCTTGGAATGCTGGGAAAGTTCCATAAACTGGAAGAAAGCCAATATGCCAATATTTAAAAGGTAATTATAGGCCTAATCAGCCTGATGTTGATTCTGGGCAAGATAATGAAATAGCTGATATGGGCCTTGAACAAAGAACTAAGAGGATAATGGAATTAATGCCAATCATCATGGCATTATGGACAATAGATCCAGTCAAATTAACTTGATGTATATATTTTTGATGAGATTACAAGTTTGGTTGATAAAGGTAACAGTGTTGCTGTAATATACTTGGACTTCTGTGAGGCATTTGATTTGATATCACTTGACATTTTGATTAAAAAACTAGAACAATATAAAATTAACATGGCACACATTAAATGGATTAAAAGATGACTAATGGGTAGGTCTCAAAATGTAATTGTAAATGAGGAATCATCATTGACCAGGGGTGTTTTAGTGGGGTACTGCAGAGATCAGTTCTTGGCCCTATGCTATTTAATATTTTTTATCAATGACCTGGAAGAAAGCATAAAATCATCACTGATAATGTTTGCAGATGCTCCCAAAATGAGGGGGAATGGTAAATAACAAAGAGGTCAGGTCACTGATAGAGTGATTTGGATCATTAGGTAAACTGGTTGCAAGCAAAAATATGTGTTTTAATAAGGCTAAATGTATATATCTAGGAACGAAGAATGTAGGCCATACTTACAGGATGGGGGATTCTGAAAAAGATTTGGAGGCTGTGGTGGATAATCAGCTGAACATGAGCTCCCAGGGTGATGCTATAGCCAAAAGAGCTAATGAGATCCTTGGATGCATAAACAGTGGAATCTCAATTAGGAACAGAGATGTTATTCGGCACTGGAGTGACCACTGCTGGAATACTATGTCCCGTTTTGGTGTCCATACATCAAGAAGGATGTTGAATAATTGGAGAGGGTTCAGAGAAGAGTCATGAGAATATTTAAAGGATTAGAAAACCAGCCTTATAGTGATAGACTCAAGGAGCTCAAGCTGTTTAGTTTAACAAAAAGGTTATGGAGTGACTTGATTACAGTCTATAGGTACCTACATGGGGAACAAATATTTGATAATGGGCTCTTCAGTGTAGCAGAGGCTGGAAGCTAAAGCTAGGGGGTAATTAGAACGATGTACCATTGGAACAATTTACCAAGGATCTTGGTTGATTCCCATCACTGGCAATTTTTAAATCAAGATTTAATGTTTTTCTAAAAGATATGCTTTAGGGATTATTTTGGGGGAGATCTATGGCCTTTGTTATACAGGAGGTCAGATGAGGTAATCACAGTGCTCCTTTCTGGCCTTGGAATCTATGAAGGATATCAGTCTTTAAAGTCATTACATTTCTGGCATAGGATAATTGTTTTAAGTCATTTCAGATGCTTTTATGGCTTCTTCTCTGACCCTTCTTTGGTTAGACCCGTGGTTATAAGTAAGGCTCCGTGTTTGTCACAGAGGGGGGAGGGATAGCTCAGTGGTTTGAGCATTGGCCTACTAAACCCAGGGTTGTGAGTTCAATCCTTGAGGGGGCTACTTAGGGATCTGGGGCAAAATCAGTACTTGGTCCTCCTAGTGAAGGTCCCTTTCAAGGTCCCTTCCAGTTCTAGGAGATGGGATTATCTCCATTAATTTAATTTATTTAATTTAGGTCACAGAAAGTCATGGATTCCGTGACTTTCCGTGACCTCCATGACTTCTGCAGCGGCTGGTGTGCCTGGCCTGCCTCTGGGCCAGTTGCACCGGCTGCTGCTGGAGCAGTTTCGCCCCCCCCTCACCTCCCAGCAGCAGGAGTTTGGGGAGGTGGGGGCTCAGGGCTGGAGATTGGGGGTGGGGTGGTGCTTACCTAGGACAGGCTCCCCAGAAGGGCTACAGGAACTCCCCTCCCTCAGCTCCTAGCTCCACGTGCTGCCTCTGCCGACGGCCAATGGGAGCTGCAGAACTGGGGCTTGGGGTGGAGCGGAGGCAGCACATGAGAGCTCAGGAGCCCGGTAAGGAGCCTGCCCCAGCCCCGCCAACCCTCCCCCTCAGCACCCATGGTGCCCCTCCTCCCCCGTGCAGTCCCCACCCCCAAGTTTTCATTACGCGTATTTTTAGTAAAAGTAATGGACAGGTCATGGGCCGTGAATTTTTGTTTACTACCTGTGACCTTTTCCTGACTTTTACTAAAATTACCCATGACTAAAACGTAGCCTTAGTTATAAGGCATCTAGCTTTACGGGTAGAAGGATTCAAAAAGTACTCCCTATTTAAAACAAAATACACCCCCCCCAACCTTAAAACTTCCTACACTGGCTTCACTGTAATGTGAGATGGAGCAGCCCTGTAGATAGGTCACTTGACTGGGAATCAGAATACATGGGTCAATTCCTGGCTCTGCCACTGGCCTACAGGGAGACCTTGGCAAGTCACCTCTTTCTCTGTACATCCATTTCCCCATCTGTAAAATGGGCATAATGATACTGACCTTTAGTACAGTGCTTTGAAATCTGAAGGTGAAAAGCGCTATGTATAAGAGTTAGGTATGCATTATGGTAAGTTGTTTTCTAAAGGTTTTATCAGCACTTGTTTGGGATGACCTGAATAACTCTCTGGTAGCTTTGCTACTTAGAAGTAATTCTGTCTTCTCAAACTCATAATAACCTTTATGCTATGCCACCTCACACAATCCTGCATTTCCCGTGTGTGTATGTGTGTACACCAGGGATCGGCAACGTTTGGCACGCGGCTCACCAGGGTAAGCACCCTAGCGGGTCGGGCCAGTTTATTTACCTGCTGACGCAGCAGGTTCGGCCTATCGCGGCCCCCACTGGCCGTGGTTCGCTGTCCCGGGCCAATGGGGGCGGCGGGAAGCGGCGCGGGCAAGGGATGTGTTATATAGTCTCAGTTAGGAAAGTCAAGGTGGTATGATAGTTCCCTGATATAAGGGGTGTAAGAACCATTGGGCCCAGAGTCAGGCCCAAGAGCTGACCCAAGGTTATTGGACTTATTGTTTTGTTGGACTCTGTTACCTTAGAAGAGGTGGGACAGAATGTGACCTGGCCAGAGGGCTGAGTCATGGGAAGAAGCAGACCAACAGAAGGGCCAGGAACAGTTGTTAACAGGTGGTGCCAGAGGAGGAGAACCTGCTTTGCCATGCTCAGCCAGGAGAGGGTGTGTCTGCTGAGTGTCTCTCTCTCCTACAGCTGGGTTAATAAGAGTATTGAAATGTCTTATGTGCACTTGGCTAGTATCAAACAGTAATATATTGTAATGAGCTGGTTAATGTGTATCACTGCCCTCTACTGGATGGAGTGAGAACTGCCCATCTGTGTCAGACACCGTCTATAATGCTAACAGTTAAGAGTACACTTATCTTTTGCTCAGGTGGGTAGGATGTATACTTCTGGAGGACGAGGAGAATCTAAGTTCTGGCCCTAGTGTTGCCAGGAAGTTCTGAGTGGCCATAATGTACAGCACAGTAAAAACCAGCCTCTTGGAATGTCTAAATCGTATCTCCACCATGTAGGTGGTTCTTGCTTATCATCATGATAGTTAACTTGGCATGAGAATTAATCACTGCTAGATGTGAACACTGCACTTCCAGAATATCTGCACTTCTGAATAAATATTTAGCAAACTGTGCATGTAAAACAATTATTTCGGTGAGGTTTCTTTTTGTTCCCTGTCTGCATATACCCACCATACAGCCAGTAAAATATGTTATTGGAACTCAAAACTTTCAGTAAAATCATTGGTCAAGTCAAATATCCTGGTCCAGCTGAAACTAATACCACTGGATGCTAAAATAAATGGCAGAGATAAAATCAAAACACAATTTCCTGGGCTAATAGAGCATCAGGCATCAGTGGAAAATAAACAAACTAGAACTAGAGTATGCTTAAGGATTTTTGTATTTTTGCCTTGTACACTTTCTGGGATCACATTCCACTGTTGACCTTGGAAGCACTGATTAGTTTTTAGCATAATACGATTACATATCTATCTGCAGGGTTTAAGATGGAAATTGAAACCTTGCAATAATTTGGCTAAAAACTACTAGAGTGTTCATCCAGCTGTCAAATTACAAGACAAACCATATTAAGCAAAAACAAGCTGTAGCTGTTAAACTGATATTTAAACACTGTCAGTGCAGCTACCTGGACAGGAGCTATTTGGCCAGCATAATTTGTTGGCTACAAGTGTGAATTATTAGGAAAATGCACTTTAGTGAGAGCTTACCCACTCTGGGCCACATACTGTTCTGTCCACATGTGCGGCTTGCATTGTAGCCAGAGAAGGTGCACTCATAACAACTCACAATCTTGTTTCTTCTTTCTCTTTTGTTCCTAGATCTGTTTTCACAACTTAGACAGACACCAGGATTCTGTTAATTACACACTCAGGAGAGAATATCTTGTTGTCGCCTATGGATGTAGGCAGCTGTGAACTGATAAACAAAACCCATGGCAGGAATCTTAGCAGGAATATTGCTACCTAAAAAATATGACTGTGCTTCATTAATGAACTGAGCCCTTTTCTAGATAAAAAGCTACAGCTTTTGATGATGACCAGTGGAGCTATTCCCTATAGGTCAATGCAATGCCTGGCATACATGCCTGAACTTGCCCGACAGCCTTTCTGGACATAAAGGTCATTCATCCTCCAGGCAGAAGCAACCAGTAGCAGTGGTGAGTAATTCTCTTTCTTTAATGATCTTCTTTCCTTTTCTAATATGAATTGTAATAGATGGGTAGCTGTTGGCTTCTTCAGATCTAGCAAAAACATTGTATGATCCATAGCAGCCTGTGTAGAAAACATATATAGGCTCTTTGAGTTGTATATCATAGAATTATCTTGTTGCGCTTTTTGTTTCTGTTACTTGCAGAATGTGCTGCTTATGTAAGATTTACATCAGACGCCTGGACAACTCTGTCCTTTTGTTCAACTTGCACAAAGAATGAAAGTGTTCTAATGCATTTAGTTATTCATATATAGTAGCTGTGCATAGCTGGGAAATGGTCTGGCTCTGTTACAAGGTCTTAGCTAAAAAAATTTTTAAAGCCACTTTGTAGTCAGGGAGGATTGCGTGCGCAGGTAGAGGAAGTTAGTTTTAAGGTCTTCATGTTTTTATAATGGAAAATCCTTGCCTGCATTGCACAGAGCCCTCTCACCAACAACCAATACAAATGTAGGTCCCTGTTTTCTCTTACATATTTGAAATTGTCCCTGAGAAGTACTCTATACTGAGTACCATGATCACATGGTAATTTATTTGCAAGCATGTTTCAGTATCTTGAGCCCCCATTACTATATTTTAAAAACTTATTTATGGCTCTTGAAAGATAATGTGATGGGTAAAGCACAAGAAAATATGCTGTAGGGAATAATCCTTCACTGGCTGGGGAGAGAAAGATGACCCAATCGTTATTTTTTCCATCTCCCATTTCTCATATTACAACATAAGAGGTAGCAATATAACGGGAACATCTTTTTTTGCAGTACACAAGTTTCAGTTTTTAACACACTAATATTTTAACCTGATGCAGAAATGATGACACAGAAGTCCTTTAAAAGTCTTTGTGGCCTCTGAAGTTCTCCTGATTGGGAAGAAGGGGACAGAGGAAATGTTCATTTAGAGAAAGGAACAGAGGACATGCAGCCTTGCTATCTATGGCTTCCATATTATTCAATAACTCCCCCTGCCTCCCTCCCCCCTCCCTTTTTTGTTTTTTGTTTTTTTACCCTGGTATCTATTAAATACTGTTTTCCCTGAGACATCATTTTAAAGTTGTTGTTATTGATTGTTTGTATTAGCACATCACCTAAGAGCTCTAGTCATGGACTGGGACCCCCATTGTGCTAGGCGCTGTACAAACACAGAACAAAAAGACTGGTCCTGCCCAAGGAGCTTACAGTCTAAGTACTGTATAAGACAAGAGGCAACATATGGGTATAGACAGATGGGGGAGTACAAGTGAACAATGCAATAATATTGGTCAGCATGATGGGCTGTGGTCTTTGCCCACCAACAGGCAAACTCTTGTCAAGTTGTTTGTAACTGGAAATAGACTCAAACTGCAAAACTTTCTGGCTTTCAAACTCTCAAGGTTTTTGGAGCTTGTTCACACCCTAGTTTTCATTTCAGCCCATTAAAGACAGGGTCTGGCTGTAGAAATCTGTATCTGGGTTCAGGTTCTGAATCCTGTCTCCCTCTCACCATCCCATCCATCTGGCAACTATTGAGTATGTTCAAGCCTGGATTTGGTTCTGGCCCCTCTCCAGTTGAAATCCTGTTCTGGTTTTTTTGGTTAGGAATTCTAAAACAGAGAACTAAAAATATAGGCCCTTATCCTGCAGTGTGTAGAGTGCAGGTGGATGTACATATGCAGGCCCTAATGGAGAATCTGTATGCCCCTGTTTGCAGAATCAGGACCATATTTTATGTATTAACTGTTCTAAATGCACATTTCCATTATGAGTTGTGCACACTTCTCTGCCTCTCCCTCTCATAATTCTTGAGAAAGATTTGCCTATTTCAGTCTCGCTGTGATGGCAGCTTTTGAATAGAAGGTCCCCTTTTCTACATATACTGGGTTGGCCTCCCTATTTAATAAAGAATGTTGAGTCCCGAGCCTTAATGGAAGATGTTGAATCAGTTTCAGCTTTTAAGAGAACTGCTATCTTTCCATTTGGGGTCTTATTGTTCCCCCCACCCCTGAAATGTCAGTCAGATCTTTTGTCCTTCAATGGCTGGAGGTTCAAGTATCATATACTTTGTGGGATTTTTATGTGCTTTTATAGCTCTTTTTTGGTGCTTGTGCAACTTCTGTTTCGGGTGAGTCAAAGTGGCCGCCTGAGTGGTGCTGTGACCCACTAATGTTTCTGTTTTACTGCACAAGTTGTAAAGCAGTGGCTGTACTTTCTGATTTTTGTCAAGGATGTCTCTAGCTGAGCCATCTTGCCTAGCTCGGCCTTGCAATTGTTTCTCTTTTGCATGGTAAAGCTGGTGTCCCCTTCCCATTCCAGCTGGAGGAGCTGCACTTGAAAATATTACTGCTCGGATGACTTCTCTTTGCCTTCCATCGCAAGCGTAGAGATGAGAAAGGTCACTCCACTGCCACTGTTGTAGAGTCCCTATGATCTATTTTCTAGAACTTCTTCCCATTTTGGTTTAGATGTCACCTTTCTAGGAAGGCTTCATATTTTCTCACTCTTAGCAGCATATCTTCCCATAGCTCAAATTTTAATATTTCTGAAATTGCATAATAAAAGGTAAAATATTTTCCCTTGGAACTGCAAGCTGTGTGTTTGTCCTATTGTGCCAGCCCTGTCTTGTGTCACAGTGGTATTTTATTAATATTTTTGATAAATTATTATAACCTATTTTTGTTTCCTCCCTCATGTTTTTAGGTCTTCTGTTTTAGCAGTTTCTTTCTCTTGACTTGCCACAAAAGAGTTTTCACAAAGCTATTGACAATAAGTTTGCCACTTTTGAGAGATTGCTAGGAGCACTGAGTGAAGTCTCCATCTGTAGGTTTGCTGCAAACAGTCACTTATTGTATTAATTCCTTGCTGGGTTTATTTGATTTCCATAGTGTCTATTGCTGGCATCTGGGCTGCTGTATAATTAGCAGTGGTCAAACAAAGCATGTCCAAGTTTGGCTCGGCTGTCAGCTGCTGTCGTAAAACATAACCAGATGAGTAAATAAATTCCAAGGAAGCTGTTGAAAAAGGAAAGGGGAGGAAATTGTCCAAATGATGTGAACAGCAAAGCCTTGCAGAGAGTCCAGAAGAGAGCCACCAAAGGGCATGCTTGAGCTGGTTGTCTTGGGTCCCTGAAATAAAGACGGTCTTGTCCCCAGTCTGAATTAGTTTGAACCTCAGGCTGGAAGATGATGGCAACTTGTCGTAGGTGAATGCAACTGCCTTAGAAGGGCATAGCCGGAGAGAGACTTGCTTATGTGTGGGGAAAGAGTACATACAGGATTCTCATGATCTCCTTAGTCTGTTTTGGAGAGCAGCTTCTGTATGAGAAGCATGCACCTGATGTTGGGTTAACTTTATTAAGCAACAAGAAGAACATCCTGTAGCTTCCTATGAGGATAGAAATACCATTAAAGGGAGCAATACTGATCATTACAGTATGTTACATCTGAGATCTTCCAATTACATCTGGGCATCCAAATCCCACTGATAATCTCACTTTACAGCTTTCCATGCTGTAACCCACTCCACTGCAGGGTGTCATTGCGAGTGCCATACTGCCCCAGTCCCCTGGATGTCTTGGTAGAATGCTGGGCATACCTCAAGCTTGGAGATGAGCATTGTAGGCACTCCAAGCACTGGGCACTTCAGGCCCTAGTCTGTGGTGGGTGCCCCCGAACACCTGTATGTTTGGATTAAGTAGTATTCCTTTATTAGGGCTGCCAGAAATACAAGGTGCAAATGCCCTCCGCACACTCTCATTAATCCCAGTGTAACCCCTCTGTGCTGTCCTGTCTGTGTGCAGCCCTTTGTTCTTGTGCTGCAGCTGCTGCCAGCTGCATGGTGTGTCTGGCTGTCCAGCTCTGAAGGCTTCCAGTTACTGCTCTCAGGCCCTCCAGTTCCACCCTGGCCTTCCTTCTGCAGCCAGCTCTCAGGCTGCTGTTCCTGCTCTCCAACAGCCTTGTGCTCCCTCCTGCATCTGGTCCCATCAGACCATGGGTAGATCCATCAGGTTCATTATGAATCTGGATTTATGGTGTGGGTTTTAGAGCAGCCGTATAGGAAAAGCATTATACCATATTGTAACCGAACAAGAACACTCCTCTTTGCACAAAGTTCCTATGGACATTTCCAGAGCTTTACGTTGAACTGCGCAGCACTGACCCGATCCTGGCTTCTCAGGAACTTCTTGGGTTCATTGCAACCCAGCTACACACTGGACTGTATGTGTTGTCTGGTCCCTTTTGCTTTCCTTGCCTGCTGTTTGCTTGTGGTCTGACATGGTTTTGTGACGGAAAAGAATGCTGTCCTGCCAGAGCTTCTGAGAGTGGGAGTCTTTTCAGTTTCAATATCTTGCCCCTTCACAAAAACCGAGCTGTCAGGGAGATTATAGTGATGGCAGGAAGTGCGTGGATGGAGTGTGATTACAACAAACAGTGTTCTGGAAATTGCCTAGCCTATAGGCTGGGATGTGGTTAGTTTTGTAACTCTCATGTTTAAGGCCAATAACTTTTTCCATAGTGATATATTGATACTATAATATTAGGCCTTCTGTTTTTCAGGGTTTATTAATGTTCTTTTGGGGTTTATTTTTAACAATTGAGTTTTATGTAGATGTCCAAAAATTGGGTGTTTTTGTAGCTTGCATTACTTGTTACAATAGTATATGCCTGATGTCCAGTTGAGTGGAGAGAAAAAGTGCTAGATCCTATGGAGATTTGAGGTTCTGAAGTGTATTTTATTGTCAACCGTAAAAGGGAGCAACCACATCTCATTTCATACCTACCATGTTATATGGGATTGGCTGGCACAGGCATTCATTTTAGTACCAGGGAACTGAGTTCAAGCTTGTGCACATGTGAAACAAGTGAGCTGCAAAATTCTACTCCTAGCCTAGAAATCAAATCCATTGTCCTACACTGAAATCAATAGGTGGAAGAGGGAAATGACTGTGATACAAGGTGTTTTCTCTGAATCTCAGGTGTCCGTCTCTCTTTCTCTGTACTCATTTTCACTTATGATCACTAGAGTATTGGTACAAACCCTGGTTAACTGATTACAAATTATGCAGTTACACAAATAATTAATAAATTGAGATGTTTCCATTCACAGACTGTATATCACACGATCTGTCTAGTTTAAGGAAGAGGTTGGGGCCCCCAATTTCCACAATGCACAGGGCCCCAAAATTCTTTAATCCAGCCTAGGGAGGATGATAAGAAAGATAAGGACCCTGGACAGGATCCAAGAACAGCACAGTGGTAGGAATCCTGGTAGCCTCCCGTATTTTAGCAGTTTGAGGTGATTTCTCATTTGCGGATTGCCTCTTGACAGTGGTTCCCCTATCTTCATATGGTAAGTAGGGTCAGTCCTCTGGATGTTAGGGCGTAGATATTTTACCTGTTCCCTATATGTGCTGGGGTAAGTGAATGGGCTGGGGGCAGAGTCAGGATAAGAGTAATGGGGTAAGATTGATGGGATCCAAAAGAGAAGTTCAGTGTGTGAAAGAGTACTGAAAGAATCTGAGGGGAGAAGAAAAGAGGAAAGACCGAGGTAGAGAATACAGGGAAAGAGAGAATATAAGAGGTGGTAGGATACAAAAGAGAAAGAGGAAACAACACAGGAAAAGATCAAACAAAATAGGAAATGAAATGAATGAAACTAGTAGGGGGAAGGTCTGACTCTTTGGGCTAGGGACTATTTTCCTTGGTGTTTGGAATATGACCAGCAAGTTTTAGGCACTTGAAAACAGTCTAAATAGTAATAAAAACTGATGAACAGTGAGAACAAGATTTGATGTTTTCCTGTAGGATCCAGCTCCTGGATTCATGTGACTATAGGAGAATATCTTGGTGTTATGTGTGGGGTTTTTTTAAATTAAGGTTTTAGTTCTCATGGTTGTGGAGAAGAGCTTGAGATTGTGAACCCTAGTCTGGGACAGTAATGTCCAGGAGGATTTAAGGGAGCATGGGAAAACTATTTCATTAAACCCGTTATCCTCTTCATAATACACCTCTACCTCGATATAATGCTTTCCTCGGGAGCCAAAAAATCTTACCGCGTTATAGGTGAAATCGAGTTATATTGAACTTGCTTTGATCCACTGGAGTGCGCAGCCCCGTTCCCCCCCCCCCCGGAGCACTGCTTTACCACGTTATATCCGAATTTGTGTTATATCTGGGGTAGATGTGTCCCTGGTGGACATATCTGGCGTTGCGAGGGAGTAATGTAATGACAGACATTTTGCTTAAGGTTTCATTCCATCTCCTGGTCTAGAAGGGAACATTAGTTTAGGCTGTGCTTTTAGTCCTGAAATATAACAGGTGCTGAGGCAGAGTGTAGGCAGCACCCTCTCTTTGTATTTGGGATGTTGGCAGGTTACTTTCCCTTTGCAGTGATCTGATCACATCTGTTATTCCCTTTTAGCTTCAGACGCACACACTGTCATGAGTGCCCCACTGACAGCAGTGCAACTGTTCTCTTGAAATGAAAGAGCGTCTCAGATGGGCTCCTGTGGTCATGCTGCAAATGCCAGCGCACAGAGGAATAAACACCAGAATCACTTTCATCCCAAGAGGAAATCCTTTGAAGAAGGGCTTTTGGGGGAGCCCCTCAAGAATAGTATCCTGAGGGTGAGTACTTTTCTTTTGATTATACCGATCTGCCTTGATTTCATAATTGGCTGTTGATGCAACAGGGGCTGCTTGAGCACGGGTTCATGGGAGCAATTGCACCCACAGAAGTCCCACAGCAGTGGCTCCTGTCCTGTGGGGCTGGGTGTGGCGACTGGGGTCCACCAACCACCCACACCACTCAGATTTTTCCTGTTCACCCCTCAGTCATCCTGATGGGGTGGCTTGACCAAAATTGACTGAGTGGCACTGAGACACTTTGTGCAATGCCCAGAGCGAGGAGTTGGACCCAGCTCTGTGGGACAGATGCTGCGGCTGAGGGAGAGGATCTTTCCAGACTGTTCCCCCTGGACCTCCCTTCTTCACTGGGCCAGGATTAGGGTTGCAGTGCCAGAGCGGAGGGTGTTGCTATGGTTGGTTGGTGCTCCCATGGCAGGGTGAAGAGGAGTAGGCAGCAGAGAGCGCCTATTTAATCAGGAGGCTACATCCACCTCTGATTAAAGAGTACTAGGAAGGCTGCTTCTAATAAGTTCAGATGTCAGAGTCTTGTGATGCATCAGTTCAGTATGGCCCGTTCTGTAATGGGAATTGATAACTAGATCATCCCTCTTGGGTGCCAGATGGGCAAAGTGGTGATATCTGGCTAGTTTGTAGAGAGTGGAAAGCTATCACTCGTATATTGATGAGTCACTCAAGATTTAGCAACGGACAGTTTGGTGTTCCAGGGATCATTCCTCTTAGTGAGGGCTAGATTGAACTCCAGACTGGCAGGAGCTTTGTTACCCTTTTTTGTTTGTTTACACTAACTTCTGATGGATCCTTGTGAAAGAAAAAAAACCTTTTGGGTTTTTTGCCATAATTTAGTTTCAGAAGAAAACCAAAACAAGTTTCCACAATGTTGAAACCACCCATTTTGATGTTTTGGGAATAAAATGTTTTGATTTTTCATTTTGAAGTTATTTTAATTTCAAAATGTCTGTTTGTATTGTTATATAATTTTAATTTTATTTTAACACAAAATAAAAAGGTGCAATTGAAACACTTTGACTTGAAAAGGTTTTTTTTCAGAATTTTCATTTGTGGAAAATGTCAACATTTTCAGTTTTCATTCTGATTTAGAACAAAATTGGATTTTAAAATCTCTAAATCCTTCGTGAAATGGAACTTCTGTCCTCCCACAGCTCTAGCCTCTAGTCCCTTTGTCACTTCTGGTAACGTCCTGCAGTGTGCTGTACTGAGGAGTGCAGCTAACCATCTTCTCAGGGATGGTCTGTACTAGAATATTTGATTTACACAGCTATGTCATTCGGGGTGTGAAAAATCCGCACCCTGAATGATGTAGCGAAGTTGATTGAAGTCCCCAGGTACACAGCATTAAGTCGACAGAAGAATTCTTCTGTTTAACTAACTACTCCCTCTCGTGGAGGTGGATTTACCACAGTGCTGGGAGAACCCCTCCCTCCGCTGTAGTAAATGTCTATACTGAAGCGCTGCAGCAGCATTTTAAGTGTAGATATAGCCAGAGTGTGGCAAGCTACTCTGAGCATAGTATAGCTATGCTCATGCTCCTGTACTGCTGATGTCTGGCAATGTTGATTGGCCGATCTTGTGATGCCTTTGCTTTTCAGCAGGAGTGAAAACAGCATGGTAACCACAGCTCCTGACATGGCATATCAGGTATTTGGAAGGCCTCTGTGATTGGCCATGCAGAATATAACTGGAAAACTTGCTAATATCTGCAGTTATAGGCTCATTCAGCCCATATTCTAGTGTGGTATTGCTAGTGGTACTGCATTAGAGCTTGCCTAAAGAAAAAGGAAAGGGTGAAATCTCGGTGTCACTGAAATCAATGGAAGTTTATCCATAATGGGGCCAGGATTTAACCCACAGTATTTTTTTTTTTGGGAGGGGGGTCATTTTTAAAGTGGTGCCATGTCATAATGAGTGCAGCTCTGAGTCCGCTACTATTATGGCAATTAGGTTAACAGATATAAAAAAACATTTAAATTTCTCTTTTGGAATTGGAGGAACAGACTCCAAAGTTATTTTTATTTTTGTTTTGTTTTTTAAGTACTGCAGTTTCTCCCAACTGCCTAGGAGAGGAATGACTTTGTATGGAAGCAAATTCTACCATGATCCCCTACATATGCTGCTATAACTACTCCATGGGAAAAGTAGAAAGGGAGGGTGACAAGTCTCACTTACCCATTACCATAAAAACAGTGTAGTAGGCTAAGTTGGCCTTTGGCTCACACAGATTAACTTGGAATCCCCGGTCTTCTGGCGTATTTATACTTCACATTCAATTAAAAAAATATTCTCTGTGGCTTAAAGAATCTTGGAAGGTCAAAGTATACATTTGGAAGCTATCAGGCTGGATGGGTGGCATGTACTGGATTAACATGAGCCTGGCCATTTTTAAAAACCTGTATTATAGTAATGATAATACTTAGGACTTTACATTTTCAAGGTGTTTTTATAAACACTCATGAAATAATCCTCAAAGCATCCCTATGCGATGTGAAAGATGTATTAGAAGTCCAGTTAAATTCATAGAATATCTTGGTCATATTAAATATAGAAGATCCATTGTTATGTTTTCACCTCTATTCCATTACATGGGGCTAACGGTGTAGCACTGGCAGGTGTTTGTCTAGCCTGTTCTTAAAAACCTCCAATGACAGAAATTCTGCAAACTCCCTAGGCAATTTGTTCCAGTGCTTAACTGCTCCGAGAGGAAGTTTTTCCTAATGTCCAACCTAAACCTCTCTTGCTGAAGTTTAATCCCATTGCTTCTTGTTCTAGCCTCAGAATTATTTTTTCTCCTTCCTCCTTGTGACAACCTTTTATGTACTTGAAAACTGTTGTGTCCCCCTTCTGTCTTCTCTTCTCCAGACTAAACAAACCCAGTTTTTCCAATCTTTCCTCATAGGTCATGTTTTCTACACCTTTAATCATTTTTGTTGCTGTTCTCTGGACTTTCTCCAACTGATTGAGCTAGAATGCCATGGCGGTGGGGGCAATGGGACAGGCTAAGTATAATCCTATCTAATACCCTAGATAAGTACTTGGGTGGCTGGCCTGTGCTACCGCCTGTACTGCTGTGGCTATGCTATTTCTTTGCATGCTAGCTTGATCAAAGTTAGCATGTACATCTACTCGAGATAGAAATTACACCTTCAGCTGCACTGTAGACATAGGCCCTTAAGTGTCAAAGGGTAAATCCCATTGAATGTCGGTGGAATTTAGGCTCTGAAGTCACTTAAGCACTTTTGAAAATTTTACTTGTTGGGTCTAGGTCTGATGACTCATGCTAAGTAAAACTCACTTTTTGACTTGTACTTGGTCAAGCATTAATGAAAATTTTAAAAACATACTAAATAAATAACTGCAATTACATTAATGTTCAGTAGAGATTGATGGAACTGGAGTTGGATTGACCTAGCTGGAAACTGTGGATGGGTTTAGAATCTTCCATTTTGTCAGCAAAAGGGCCACCAAAAAAATCCAACCAAACCTGCACTGAATTAAGTTAGTGTGCATTACAAAAATCCTTTTGTTTTGACAGTGGCTATTTTGCCATTAGTGCATTAGAAGAAAAAAGTCAATGTTTAGGAATGGGGAGTAAAATATTTAAGTATTAAAAATGATATTTTAGATGACACATTGTAAGGCATTCAGGAGTCTTAATAGAACTTTTAGGTTTAACAAATATGTATCCATTTGTTTTCAATTGTTGTGTTTTTTAATTCGTAAATGATGCAGAGATTAGTAATTACACTGCTTTCTCACAATTTCTCAGCCTTCTTTTAATAAACGCTTTGCAGATAAGTCAGGAGTGTTGATGTTGCACAAGAAACTTGTCAACATGAAAACTTTTATCGAAGTATAATTGTGCGTTTAGACAGTAATAAATGTGCACTGTTTCATCCTCTTTAAATCCTTTGGGTCAGATCACAGAATTTCTGTCACCTGAGAAATTCAGACACTTCAAAATCTGCGGTTTTGTTCCAAATTGGAATAAAAGGCTGAAATTTTGAGATTTTTCTATTGGAACAGAAATGCCAAAAAAATTTAATTTGGAAACATTGAATCATTTTGAGCCTGTCAAATCATTTCAATATTGTGGATTTATATCTAATACAATGTTAAAATGTATAAAAGTCAAAACAAAATTCAACTATTAAGCTGAAATGTTTTGACACTTTTCTGTCTAATTTCATCAATCAATACTTTCCCGCAAAACAGTTGGGTTTCAGCAAAATTGCATTTTTTTAATGGAAAACTTTCAAATTTTTCAACAATCTCTAGCTCTGCGCCAGATAATGCTGTGTCACAAAGCTGTAAACCTGGAATAACTCCGCTGCTTTCAGGTAGACAGAGGTCAGGATCTGACTCAGAGTTTATAGTAGAAACTACAGTATGCCTGTATGTTTCACTCTGAGCAGTGATAGTTTATACAACTTCAGGGGCCTTATCAGCAAGGGAAAAAAAAGAAACCAAAACAAATCCTTGCTGGTAGGAGAGGTGAGACATGGAACAACAAAATCCAATATTGATAATATTGGCAATTGTTCTATTTGGTAAAGTGTTTTAATAGCCTAAATCCACGCTCGCATGCATTATAGTAGGAGAAGCCAGTTATTATTTTATCTTTTTCAGAGGGATTAAGGGAAAAGAAAATTGGTCTGTAATGGAGAAAATGAATGGTCTTAGATCTTAGCTATTGGTAGTAGCTGGTGGCAGTAGTTTTTAAAGCACCAGTGTAGCTTATGGTTTCCAGTCCATTGATTCTGCACACTTACTATTTTTTTATTGATAGCGTATCTTTATGCCCCCTTTTTGTTTTAATTTGAAGATTTATTGTGGCATTACTTCTACTGTCTATAAGCAAATGTGTCCCTTTCTTCCTCCCCCCCCCCCCCCAAATATGACCTAATATAAAATGCTGAGAGGGGATTAGCTATGGCTCTTTTCTCTTTACCTACTGTATACTTTGC